ACCAGGTGAGGATAGCTGATGGGTCTCAAACCCTCAGTGAGTTAGGGACTTCCCCTGCATACAAAGATAGACTCTGGAGGATTGAGCAGACAAGACCAAAAGCAGATCCAACAGTCAACAAGACAGTTTCTAGATTGCTGTAGAGGAAAGTGAGGGCCAGGTGGGCTCATCAACCTGGGATGATAGCCCATCTACAGGAGGAGAAGAAAGACTCTGATCCTAAACCTCTGCTGCCTTGTGGGATATCTTTGGGAGAAGCAAAGGCTAAGGAGTAAACCCTACACACATCCAGAGTGGAGTCCCTAAGATGGTTGGATAGGGCCTTGTACGCCTCTTTCCGGCAACTTCTGCAACCAAGCTGGTGCCAAATGTATTGTTCTACTTCCCTTTGGACCACATCAGCGATTCCAAGAGAGGGCTTTTGTTGTCTGCGCAACCCAGGATCTCCATACACACTGCCCAGGTTTGTACCCTGGGTGGGGTGTTATTTTGGTGCTGCTAAATCAGCAGAGGTACACCCCATTGTCCCTCGAGACAGAAGGATGCCGAGAGATAATAAAATAGTAAAGGTGCTTCTCATAAATGGGCATAGACATTGGAAGAAGTCACTACACCTGTGTGCCAAATGCAAAATGACCAAATAGGTTAGGGAAACAAGTTTCCAAACCATAGATTCCAAACTTCACCTACCACTCGCCTTCTAAACAGGCAAGCGACTCCTGTGGTTCCTTTTATTAAAAAAGTAAATCATCATGTTAAGAAAATATTCAGTCTCTCTATCTCATTGAAGACATTTACCCAGTCCTTTCTCATGCATCTATGACGAATAATTTAGAAGAACTCGATTCTCTCTCTCTCTCTCTTTATTGCTATCATTTTTTTATTACAATCGTTTATTTATTGAGCAGTGGGGAGTGGAATTGTTCTGAACCCTGAAGATTCATCCTTCACGGAGTATTAAGAGGATATATTGTTTAATAAGAAAAATTTATTCTCAGGCTAGTTTTAAGTTCCTAATGAAATAGTTAAAAGAACACTGTAGATGGTTATGTGGGTTTCATTGATTAAGGGAACTAATGGCTGCATACAACTACAATGGCAAGGTGCAGCACTTTGGTTTTTGGAATGTTGAGTGATAGGCCAAGCTTTTCATAAGCTTCTGTAAAGATGTTTAGGATGGTTTGGGGGTCATCCTCTGAGCGTGCGCACATTACATTGTCATCAGCATACTGAAGCTTTATGATGGAAGACAATGGCAAGGATTTATTAAATTGACAGTTAAACCAGTATGAAACTGAAATCAGGCTGGGGTCACAGGGTCGCATCATGGCTGACCTACTGAGGCCTATAGTGTGCCTATTGCCAACCCATGGAGCCTGCTGGTCTGCTGCTCTGCTTTCCTTTTCTTCTGTTTACTTGTGGTATTCAGTCTTGCCATGACAGAGTGAGGAGTTGAAGCATCCTCTTCTGTCCACCTTGCTTTTTCCCTCTGAGTGATGTAGTAAAGTGGACATAGAGGCACTCACCCTGCCTGCAGGGTGGCGCAGGCAGGGCAAAATTGCTTACCTGCCTTCCAACTGGCCTGTCGCTGCCTGTCCCTGAGAAGGGCTGAGGGAAAACATGGGGAACAAAGACATGGGTGGGCATGGCGGCAGGAGTACCCGATTGCTTCCATCTCCACACTCACACAATACCTTCCTCCCTGCACATTTTCCCTGCTCCTCTCCCTCTCAGGAACCAGCAGCGAGCCTGGGTGTTAGGAAGGCAGGTGAACTATACCACTCTGTCTGCATTGCCCCACAAACCGCTGCTGCTCAGAGGGAGAGAGCAATTGAGCAGCTGTGACAATGCTGAGCTGGGGTGAGCTCAGTTTCTCATTTTCTCTCAGTTTCTCATTTTCTATATCTCCACATTTCCACGTCAGTTTGCAATATTTCAAAAGCAACCCTAGTGAAAATTTGTCAGCATTTTAGCATACATTTCTCCTAAAATATATATTTCCCTAATATGCATAATCTCCTCTAATATAATGCATTTTAGGTTTATTGTTGTTGTTAACATTTCGATATCACCTTTATCTTCCAAGGATATTAACCAGCACATGGTTATCCTCCTTCCCATTTATCCTCACAACAGCCCTGTGAGTGTCAGGGTGCTGTCAGAGGCTCCTGGCTGGTTGCCCAGGAAAGTATAAAGACAAGGAAACGTTTCTGATCGTCCTTTTTTATTCCAGTCTTTACAGAGAGAGGCTATAGAACCCAGCCTCTTGGATAATGACAAGTGAATTTTCACACACACCCATCTCTCCTACTTCCTCATTCGTCATTCTCATCATCTCCTCTACGGGTGCCCCTAAGTGCCCTCTGTCCTTGAGCTCTTTGCTCTCCTACTTTTAAGGCTCGCCAGCTTCTGGGAGATGGAGGGTCTGGAATACTTTCTAATGACAACGTGTCAGCCAGGTGTTAATCTGGCTCTCCCATGATTTCCCAACTTTCCCCCTTATCTGCCTCTGAGCTGCGACCTCCCTCAAACTCCTGTTGTAAATCTGTACTGTCTTCCTCTTTCTTCTCCCTGGAAGGGTCAGGATGGGGAGGCAGTCTCCACCATTCCTCCTCTGCCCAGTCCCTGACAGTGAGGTAGGTTAGGCTTAGGTAGGTTAGGCTTAGGTTAGGTTAGTGAGCTTCATGGCTGAGTGGGGATTGGAACACTGCTCTCCCAGGTCCTAGTCCAATACTCTAACCCTTACACCACACTGGCTCTTTAATTTTTTTATTTTCATGTACAGTGGTACTTCTGGATGCAAAAGGGATCCAGAAGTGAACCCAACCCGCGTCTGCGCGTGCGCGGGTTGCGGTTTGCCGCTTCCGCACATGCATGTGACATCATTTTGACCATCTGCGCATGCATGAGTGGCAAAACCCGGAAGTAATTCACTCTGTTACTTCCAGGTCGCTGAAGCACGCAACCCGAAAATACTAATCCCAAAGCTACTTCAACCCGAGGTATGACTGTATACATTTTATGCACACTTTGGCCTAATAATACACATTTTTTGCAGACATTATTTTGTTGGAAAACTGCGCTGCAAAATTCAGGGAAGTGCCCATTTTTATGGATCGATCTATTTGGGTGTGCATATTGTTTCAGGAAGCACAAAATAGGTAGATTCACATTAGAATGCAGACCAAAACCAGAATGCAGACCAAAACCAGTTTCTCCCCCACCCCAACCCATAGCAGAGCCCTCTCCCCCAATGTTATGCGTGCCACACTTTGGAAGGATCTACATCCTGAAAAGTGGAATATAAAGAATGGCAAGAAATGATACCCGAAGCCAGCATTGACTAGCATGCATTTCAATATGTCCTCATGTTGCCGGGAGAAGACAGCAGTTTCTGGGATAATTTTTAAATATTGTAGCAGTGGTATTGGAGCTGCATTTTGTGGCTCATCCCGCCGGCACAGCTGTAAGGTGTAAAAGCCTGCAACCACACAATAGTGCCAGGTATCTATATGTTCTTAACATGAAATTTTCAGCAACAACCGTGAAGCAAAATTCAGGTGGGCCTTTGCAAGTTGCAGCCACATTGCAGCTGCACCTCATGGCAAAAGGAGCTTCCAAAATTACAGCTGGAACATTCAAAAGGCATCCCGATAAAGATTCTTACAGTGCTGTTAATCAATTGTGTGGTGGAAGAAGGGGCTCCCAGTCTGAGTTCAGGCACCATGCTTTTGCTCCTGATAGTTGCTAGCATGATGCCTGTCTGTTATGTGCATGTGTTGAGAATGTGTCTTCCAGAACATTTCTGCAGGGGTATATTTATGTGACTTAACATATTTTTTTCTCCTGCAGATGCTTCATGTCCATTAAAAAAAATGTGTATATAGAAAATTGTTTCTATATGTAAGCAGCTGTCACAGGATTAAGATGAATGGATATAATTAACTAAGCCAGGCCTCAAGCAGTAGATTGATGGATTGTTTGCAATGCATGGAGAATCCAGCATCTAGAACCAAGTATTGCAATACCCTAGAGCCACTTGTGATGCCCACCGAGTGAAGCCATGAAACCAGGGCATTGACTTTGCTACTATAGTTTTGTATGTTGTGGGGCTTAATAGAAAAGAACTTTGCACAACCTATTTAGATTTTACCTAAGTTTAGCGAAATCCGTGAAATTGTAGACTAGCTGAAAATATCAGGTCCAGGATAGTCAAAACCATGATAAAAACATCCAGACCCACTGCTGATTCTTGTTCTAAAACATTTTGTTGTTGTTTAGTTGTTTAGTCATGTCCGACTCTTCGTGACCCCATGGACCAGAGCATGCCAGGCACTCCTGTCCTCCACTGCCTCCCGCAGTTTGGTCAAACTCATGCTGGTAGCTTCGACAACACTGTCCAACCATCTCGTCCTCTGTCGTCCCCTTCTCTTTGTGCCCTCCATCTTTTTCCAACATCAGGGTCTTTTCCAGAGAGTCTTCTCTTCTCATGAGGTGGCCAAAGTATTGGAGCCTCAGCTTCACAATCTGTCCTTCCAGTGAGCACTCAGGGCTGATTTCCTTAAGAATGGATAGGTTTGATCTTCTTGCAGTCCATCGGACTCTCAAGAGTCTCCTCCAGCACCATAATTCAAAAGCATCAATTCTTCGGCGATCAGCCTTCTTTATGGTCCAGCTCTCACTTCCATACATCACTACGGGGAAAACCATAGCTTTAACTATACACACCTTTGTTGGCAAGGTGATGTCTCTGCTTTTTAAGATGCTGTCTAGGTTTGTCGTTGCTTTTCTCCCAAGAAGCAGGCGTCTTTTAATTTTGTGGCTGCTGTCACCATCTGCAGTCATCATGGAGCCCAAGAAAGTAAAATCTCTCACTTTCTAAAACATAGCTTTTATTTATTTTTCTTTCTGATGTAGTGGAGCAGAGCCACTGGTACTTTATATATTCAGTATTAGTCATACATGATGTATCCAGTATTTCTCATACTAACACAGAATACACCACTGGATAGCTCAGTCAGTAGAGCATGAGACTCTTAATCTCAGGGTTTGGGGTTCGAGCCCCATGTTAGGCAAAATATTTTTGCATTGCAGGGGCTTGGATTAGATGACCCTTGGGGTCCCTTCCAACTCAACAATTCTATGACTCCAATTCAACAATTCTATGACTCAGAGAAAACCAACTGAAATGAATAATCATTTCAGGTCCATTGGTTTCAAAGGGTCAACTCTGAGTTGGGTCAACTGATACCCATTGGTAGCAACAGACAGGGATGTACAAAACATAGGAACGCACAGTTCAGTTTATTTGTCTAGATAGATATGAAAGTTTTGTTTTTGTTTGCAATTTAGCCTTTGTTTTAATTCAAACCATGAACTGTTCTCTATAACTACATTCTGCTTCCTGTCCCGTCCTGCCCCCACCTTGGTTGGTATGTCGGTGCTCATTCTGAAACCTATTAATGAATTTCAGATTCTTCATTTATGGGAAATGTTTCAGCGCAAACACTCAAGAACTCTATTAGTTTGATAAGGAGGAACACTAATGCAGCCACTTTCAAATCAAGCTTCTGATTATTCAAAAATAATTCGGGAGTGACAGGTACATTTCTAAAGGTTCTGTTTGTTGAAAATGCAAGCAATTCAAACCTCAGATACATTAGCTATTCAATTATGGCAAGGTCTATCAACAACCTTGCGTCAGAACATCACAACATAATAATGGGTTAGGAGAGAACTTCTGAGAGAGTCTCTTCATGACTAGCTTATACACCATGGACTGGGAACTATTTTGGCCCAGTGGATCTCCCTCCTTGACAGCTTTCTTGACAGCTTACCTGTTAAGGTTGTCCCAGAGAGGTGGTGGAAGTCTCCCCCACAAGGAATCTGCTGACAAAACAGACCCAGCAAGACCAACCTCATCAGCTAACATCAGCCACTGATATCAGCTGACTGATAGGTGACTGGGGTGTATGGGAAATGACTTTGTGGGCTAACCTGGCCCAGAGGCTGCCCACCCCTGCTATCTACTAATTCTATAGCCCAATCATTCCCAAAACATGGGTGCTGGAAAATTACCCAAAAAGGGAGATACCTAAACTTTTTGGATAGCATCAGCATGCCTAAATGGAATTATCTATAATAGTATGTCATGGTTGCGTGCGAATGGCCTGTTCTGCTTTGTAATGAGAAATGGTGTCACATCCAATGAATGCCAGCAGGAGGAGCTATAGTTTTCCTGGTTCCTATCTAGGATGGGTCTGGGTCCTGCCCACTGCATACATTCTCCCGATTGGTAAAAAAACCAACTCTTGGAAGTCACCAGCAAGAGGACATGTTGCAATGTCCAAAAGCTGCTTAAAGGTAAAGGTAAAGGGACCCCTGACCATTAGGTCCAGTCGCGGACGACAAAAGACTGCAGATGGTGCTTGCAGAATGTACTTGAAAAGCTTCTGAAATAAAGATCGGCTATTGCATTCCCTGTGGTGGCAATCCTATTGCCAGGCATCGAGGCCTAAGAGCGAGCATCAGAGAGCCAAAGGCCTGTAGCCCAGTGGGATCTCACAGAAGCAAGTTGGCATGTGTGGCGTTTGCCCTCCTAGGTGTGTGACATCATACTGGGTTCATAAGGAAAGGGTTAACTAATTGTAAAATGATTAACCAATGGGAACCCAAGGGGCAGAGTTAATTGTTTATAAGGTTTAAGAACAGAGGGGTTTTGGACAGGAAAGGAGTTAGGAATCTGAGTTAGAGACAGAGAGGATCAGTCTGTGGGTTGGGCTAGTCTGATGTGAGAGAGTGAGAGAATTTGTTAAGAGGAGTCAGTCAAACAGTTGAGATAATCATTCAGAAGATATTAGGAAGGTATAGGCCGGTAAAGAAACTGAAGTTAAGATACTGACAGGAATATTATCTGAGAAACCATAAACTTGTTAATGTTTATAAAATAAACTTGTTTATTTGGTTCACTTTTAACAACTGTCTGGACTCAGTGTTTTACCCAAGAGTAGCAGGTTGGTGGCAGCGGGGAAGTGAGCACAGTGGTGGCACAGGGATCAATAGACCGTTAAACATCCAGGGACCCTGTGTGATCACCACAGCCTGACTCAAGGCTGGTGAATTCTGGCACATCTCAGCTCCAGATGGGAGTGGACCATTCAATCACTCTCTTGCCAAGACACAACATGAACCCCTTCCAGTTAGGATGCTTGCCTCAGAACCAGAGCCACAGGATTTAGCTACTCTCAGGGGGAGACAGTCTGACTCTAACACTCTCTCAGAGTATCTCACATCACTGGCTGTGAATGATGTGTCTCCGATTTTATTTTTATTTTTTAAGTGTACCTTAGCAACCATTTGTTGGGGAAATGATAATGTAGTCTCTGTGGTGGTTTCCCACGTATCCCTATATTCCACTGGTAGAATTGTGGAGAAAGCTGAGCTCTTACTAACATTCTGTCATAGGTGGGATCTGCAGTGTAGAATCACAGACACACACCCTACCAATGCCTCTAGTAATATGTCAGTATCCATGACCACAAAGCTCATACCGTTTTCATATGGCTGCTGGGGTTTGTTCATCTCTTCTTAGGATTTCCTCACCACAAATATATTTTGCCAGCGTTGGGGTTCCTCTGAGCCTGCTTACACATTATACAATCCTGCTTATACAGAGCCAGTGTGGAGTAGTGGTTAAGAGCGGTAGTCTCATAATCTGGGGAACCGGGTTCGCGTCTCCGCTCCTCCACATGCAGCTGCTGGGTGACCTTGGGCTAGTCACACTTCTTTGAAGTCTCTCAGCCCCACTCACCTCACAGAGTTTGTTGTGGGGGAGGAAGGGAAAGGAGAATGTTAGCCGCTTTGAGACTCCTTCGGGTAGTGATAAAGTGGGATATCAAATCCAAACTCTTCTTCTTCTCTTGTCCACGGCTAATACTGGTTTGGCTACGTACAGGAACATAGAGCCTGAACATAAAAAACGGGCATGATGAAGCCATAACGCTCTGCTCTCCACCCTCTGCACAGTCTATGCTGCTTGGGTTATTTATTTTGAAGTGGGAAACACAGATGCAAACTTTAACTAGAGTTGTCCAGGAAGGATTTGCAGTTGCTGCTGGTTTCGAATGGCTGATAAAAGAATGTGGGCATTTCCAAATATTTTCACTATTCTAATACAGATAAATGACCCAGAAGGATAGAAATGCTGGTTCATAAATTTAAGAGTACCCTTGCTTGCTTTTCTGTAGTGTTAATATCTTGACAAATTTCAGTCCTCTTGCCCCTATTAAATTAAAACCAGTGTAAGCAATTCTTTTAGCCATTACTGATAGCCTTGTCATCTGATAAAGCTGTCACTGCACAAACAGTCACAGGTCATTCCCCCCCCCCTCACTCCAACTTGGCACACAATCTGCCGTGTAGCTAGTTATGATAAACCTGTAAACTACCATTCAGTATTCCCTCACCAAAAGAGTACTCTTGCCTGCCACCATTTTGTGTGCCACCTCACAAGCACCTCGGCTCACAAAGGCTACACTGTGTCTGGAAAGATGAGCTAGGCAGGATCTAAACAAATTGAGGACAAAAGGCACTTGACGTCACAGCCTCTATAGACTGACATGGGACCTCCTGAAAAGGATAATGTACACTGGAAGAAGAATTCTGGCTTTAAGACTTAGTGCAGTGATCTCATCATGCATGAAGGTGATGGTGTGAAACCAGGAAATACAAGTAACACTTCTGCTCAGAATAGGGGCTGTTTTGAGGAAAGACTTCAATGGAAGACAGTGTGTGGAACTTTATGACACCAGAACCCAATATGAAGATGAAAGTGGTGTGTGAACTTGAAGTCCCATTGAAATCTGTTAAATTAGCGGTAAATAATCAAGGTCTCATTTATTTCAGTGGAACCTGGATCCAATCCTCTGTCTTTTGGGGAACATGTGGTCACACACTGAAATCTTTTATTGCCTCTAAGTTAAAACTACCAGAGACAGCAGCAAAGAAATTATGGTTAAAATTGCATTTTCCCCACTAGCTATGATACAAGTGCTATTGGTGTCCACCCCCAGCCCCGCTTATTAGCATTCATAATTTTAAAAGAATTGTTTTAATTAAAAATAAAGCTCTTCAGGTCACCTTTAAAGTTCTGAACCCTCAAATGGAAATATTAACTAGCCTTTCCTGCAGCCTATTCTTTCAAAAAAGATATTTAAAAAATCCTTAATATGATTAAACTTAAACTGGAGAATGATAAAAGGCTAGATTCTGCCCTCAGGCCCAAATCTTTTTTGATTAGGACTCTGCATCCAAATTAAAACTAACTTATTTCACCTCCACAGGACTCCTGCAGACTGTGAATCTAAGGAACTCAAATATAATTCATTCTTATACATTTAGCAAAACACACTTCATGCATAACGTATAATGCAGGCTGAGGATTGGCAGGGATTCCAGTTCACAACCAAAGCACTGGGTCTAGCTGAAGATGCCATTAAAATTTGGTGAATTTCACCAGGAAATAACTTTTAAATGAGATACATTTATGTCAGATTCCAACTTGCATTTTGCATGTATAAATTTTAACTGTGGTTTTATCCTTCATTTTCCATACTCCAGATCTCCTCCAGACACCACCAGAAACACAAACAGAATCTACCCATTCCAATTTCATTTGCGTCCCTGAAGGGCTCTTCCCAACACCTGTTTTTACTGGCAGAGCTTAGGTTGAGATCCTTGATATATCAATGCAGAGTGTCTCTGACCACATGTAGTGTTTATAATCAAGTTTATCATCATTCGGTAAGGGGGGGAGGTAAAGTACCCCTGGATGATTAAGTCCAGTTAAAGGCAACTATGGGGTGCGGCACTCATCTCGCTTTCAGGCCAAGGGAGCTGGCGTTTGTCCGCAGACAGCTTTCTGGGTCATGTGGCCAGCATGATTAAACTGCTTCTAGCGCAACAGGGCACAGTGACGGAAGCCAGAGCACACAGAAATGGCGTTTACCTTCCCACTGCAGCGGTACCTATTTATCTACTTGCACTGGTGTGCTTTCGAACTGTTAGGTTGACAGAA